ATCCCACTGTGCGATATAAAGTTGCAAATAGGATAAATAAAGTCAAATTGCAAAATATAAAGTCACAAATACAACAAATAAAATCTTACTGTGAGACATAAAGTGACTAATTAGCAGATATTCTTTATATTTTATTATTTATGTATTTATTTATTGGGTGGAAACAGGCTTCAATAAATACCAATTTAGAGTCATGTGTCAAATGATGACAAGGGTTAAAAATGTAAATTGTTAGAAATGGAGTGTAGTTATTTAATTGAATTGGTTTCTACAAAGACAAACTTTATTCATTCATTCTTTTTTTTTTGGCATAACATTAATTGTGCTCAAAAGAAAGAAAAATCAGGAAATTACATTCATAATGAAAATGTCAATTTTGAATTAATTTGTTGGCTGTAAGTTATATTGAACCTGTTCATGGTTGGGCGAATTAATCTTGTCTTTGTCACTGCTGAACAGTTCTTGTCTTCAGGTTTAAGTGCTATGCACACATCTTGACTTTCCATTGCTATTCAGATATTCAGAACAGAATAATAGCTTACTGCATTCTGCACACTATGCACTGCAAATGCTGGTATTTTTTTAATAGTGTGGAGTGGACAGTTTAGGATGACATGCTTCGGTCTTCAAAAGGGTTCGAGTAATGCAGGCAGACAGGAATAATGCATTTAACTGACTTTACTGTCAGTGAACTTCAGCTCTCTCAGTGTGTCTGCCTTTGATCGTATAATAGTATGTGATACAGCACACATTATGCAATGGCATACATTTCATCCAGCAGTATGCTATGCTGTTTTCACATGACTTCAGTGGCGTCCAGTTATCATCTAAGAAATAAATATTATGGTTGATATTTTTTCAGATTCATTTGTTACACTTGAAATGAAAAGTCGAAATGTTGTCCCACAAAGTGTGCTTTAGTTGTATACTTGACATTTTGGCACATGTTGGGTATTCTACACTATCAGAAAAAAGGTACAAAAGCAGTCACAGGGACGGTACCTTTTCAAATATACACTTTTGTACCATTTTTACCCCTAGAGACTCTATTAGTACCTTAAAGGTACATATTACTGATGTATATTAGTACCTAAATGGTGCATATTTATATCTTTTGAAAGGGCACTGTCACGATGATAACGTTTATACCTTTTTTTTTTCTGACAGGGTACGCATGCAGAAAATGTGCATATACTGCACAAATAGCAGAATAAAAATGTTGTGTGCTATTATGAACATAGTACAGCATTCTAGAAGTGAAAGGGGAATTTTGTGGGGTCCTTCTTATTTTTTCTTTCTAACCCCAGTTGTCATTTATTGCAAAAATATTAATTTTAGTAAAAAGTCTACAGATAAGCATCTATTTCTTTCCTTGAAATGACAAGGGATAAGACTAAGGACTTCTTTCAAGCATCATTTCGAATGTTTCCTTCTGAGGTAAAGCAAACAGCTTTTTATTGGCTGTAAATGAGGCCTTGTTGCTGAGCAACGTGAACATTTGAATAACAAGAAAGCAAATGTAAAAAAAGTGAAATTGTTATTCATTATCTAATTCCAAGATGGCATAATGAGGAGTTGAAGAGCACTTTGGGAATAAGACATGGGTGCAAAACGAAACTTTGAAAGTTATTAAGAATAATCAGAATAATTGCACTGTTTTATTTATTATCTAATTAATTATTATTAATATAATATGCTTTACCCCTATACCTGTAAGCAATGGTCATTTTATAACACATTTGTAAGAATGACAAATGCAAACATTGGAAGCAGATGTTGATCTATAACACTTTATTCAAATAAAAACAAATATGGAGCAAAATTAAGCAATCAACATTTTGCTTGTTACAAGTTTGTTTAGACTGTGTATAAAAAAGTCTCTTTAATAGTTTGTAGTTAATTTTTTGCCAATACATTTAGAGCAGGTACTTTGTTGATACGGAAAGCATCTCAGTATTATTGTAAAGGGAACTGCTGTCACCTAGTGGTGGCTCATGAGCAGTAGTGAATGAATATACTCTGTAATTTAATGTACATAGTAATATATGTAATATAATTTTTAGCTGAGTGATCCACATTTGAATCCATGGTTAACATATTCAGAGTAAGGAGTTCAAAATTCAACCTGAAATACTAATTGAAAGACAATAATTAAAAATATGCATTCACAAATCATGTTGTTGTCATTTTAAAATATCCCTATGCAATATCAATGTACTTACATGACATCCAGAAAATACATTTATTTACTGTGTTCAAAGAACATGAAGTCCTACAAAAGAAGAAGAATATCAGATTATTCACTATGCTGAAACACGCAGAGCTTATAGAGCAACATTAGAAAAATATAAACTGGTCTAACCAGAACTATGTTGATGCATATCAATGCCTTATTTTTGCTTACTATGAGAAAACAGGCTCCAAAAAGAGCAGCTTTGATCTTCACGTCCAGATCCATAGGAAAGGAG